TGAGTCATAAAGAGATGTGTTTGAATCTGACTGAGTGAGTGTACTTGCGTGTACATGCGTTCGTGAGTGCGAGTGCGTGTCCGTGTGAGTGTGTGTCTCTAGAGAAGAGGCCAATCACCGGAAGCGGTTTAGTCGACGTGACTATCGGCGAAGCCACCAAGGACACGCCAAGTACACATGGCGGCCGCCTCATATCTGGCGGCGGCGCGAGGAGAGATCGCCTCAGCGGGCTGGCCTCAGCGAGCTGCCTCGGGAAGCCTTCATTCTCGCTCCATTCCTCTTTCTTTCAATCCTTCCATGCCTTTATCGGACACATTTACTGTACCGAAGATCAATTATCCACTAGACTGTAAGCTCGAAAAGGTTCGTATTTTTCAGGAGAAAATCCGCTGCGATCGAAAGCGGCGCAGTCCTACAAAGTCACCGCCACGCGAGAGATCACCATCGCGAGTCTCCCTCGTGTCAAGCATCGTGTTCACCTCGACAGGAAAGTCAGCAGACAACAAACAACTATAAATAACATCGCCATTATCAAACACGCTGTACCTCGCCATTAAAATACCGCGTCATTATCAACAAACCCACCGCAAATGGTCTCACACCGCATGGTCACCTCGAGCTTCACTGCCCAAAGCTACCGTCACTAACAGCAGATAATGGCGACAATAAAAATTAAAAATTGGAAGTACATACAGTCTTCTGATACAGTGATTTTAGGCAATAACTTGCGTTTTAAAAGAAGGCGGAAGAAAATTCACTGGTTTTACCGCGACCATTCCAGCTCATTCTTTGCTTCCACAGTAGGCCTACAGAGAAGGGTGAAGTAATGCCTCCTGATGAGTATTTCATCTCTAAGGAACACTAAGGCTCATGAACGCGTTTCCTTCCGAGGACAAACTAACCCTTAAGATCCTGGCTGGCGTAGCCTCGAGCGAACAAGTAATGACAGGCTTTATATCATCATTATATTTATGAAGAACCGCTGACTCACTGGCCCGTGTGTGAGTGTATGTATGCGTGTGTGTGGATTTGGTTCACTCTGCTTCGCGGTTCATTCCTCGGTGTTTATGGCCCTTCCTGGTGGTGGTTCACGGCCAATTCAGTTAGCGTTCTGGATCCCTCGGCGGTGCCCTGGCTTCCCGCTCGGATTCCGCCAGACTCCCGGATGTTGTGAGTCGCTGTTGATTCATTCGCTCTCAGACGCTGCGGTTTGAGGCGTCGTTAACAATCCTCGTTCTCCAGCTTGGTTGCCAGCTGGGCCGTGTTGCTCGTGGGAGTTCGTGCCGCGCTTCGCATCGCCCGCCCGCCGCTGGGCTCCGAGCCTCGTCCGCGCCGTAAAATCCACGCTCGCTCTGCCACTTTTATCTTGCATCCCTAAGCAGCAGACGCCCAAAAAGCTGTCAGTCATGAAGGAACATCTGGAGACGGAGGGAGACGTGCCCACGCCGCGAGCTATGCTTGGCCCAGAACGAATAAATAAACCCCAAAGGAAAGCAGAAAAAAGACGGAAACTTTGAGTAAAGGTAAATGTCGTAAACTTGCCGGAATGTCAAGGTGACGGAGTTCCACACACACACACACACACATGTGTATTTACATACACACACACACACACATATATATATATACATACATACATACATACATTATATATATATATATATATATATATATATATATATATATATATATATATATATATATAACACATATATGATGAACGTACTGGAGACGGACGATTTGCACAGATTAATAAATAAAATGCTAAAACCGCAATGCCCTGAACCCCCCCCCTGCCCCCCGCGCCGCAGTCGGCCGCCTCGGAGGCCCGCGCCGACTCGCCGGGCCCCTGGTCAGCCCTCGGAGTCCACCTGGGATGGGCGCTGGGGGGGCGGCGAGGAGATCCTGACGGCGCGGGGAAGACGCCCAGGACGAGTGGGAGGATAATTGCCCCCACTAACAGGCGGAGGAGGAGGAGGGGGGGGGGGAGACGAAGAAGAGGCGAGGTGTGAATGTGGAGGAAGGAGGAGGAGACAAGGGGGGGCGATAGAGCAAGAAAACGAGGAAGAAATGGTCGAAAGGAGGAAAACGAAGAAATTGCACAAGAGAATAGGAGAAGGAAAAAAAATAAACAGAGGATAAAAGAGGCATAGAACTGAGACGATTGTACCACGGGTAAAACAAGGCATGATCAAGAAAACAAAATATGAGAAATCCAGGAGAGGGAGCGCGACCAAGAAGTCATGGGGGGGGGGGGGAGAAGGATAGCTAAGAGGAGAGGTCAAAGGGCAAGGGAAGAGTCGCAGTTTCAAGGTCAGCCAACCAGGGAGAACAGCACAGCGTCAGAGTCTCCCTTTTATAAAATAACACGGTAACAACCATGAAATTAAACGAGCACTTCAAGGATTTCGGAAACCCAGACAAAGGCATACCTCGGGGCACGCTTCGAGGAACTGCGCGTCCTGTATTCAATGACCTCGTACTCTCTATTGTTTACATA